AGAATGCACAGGCCGCTAGCCAGAAAATCGGAAATCGACGTCAAATATTTCGCAGCCCCAGTATACACATAAGAAATTGAGAGTACTCGTGGAATGATAATGCCATGGATACATATGTTCATAAGCAAGCACATAAATACAGTACGGTTCGGATTCGTGCATAAAAACAATTTTCTTTTAAATATTTTTTTATTTAAATTATTTTAGATCTGTTTCAGTTCCAACTTACTAAATAATAGATCATTTAATATGTTTTGAAATTATTTGTCTAGGTATATTTTAAGGCTAATATTTACTTGATTACAAAAACGTAGGTATGTTTCAAAAATAGTTCTTAAAAAATGTCAAGGTTTCATTTCACGATCCGAAAAAGCGAAAATCAAAATTTATGAAAGTTTTGAAGTGAACATTGGGCTTTATTTTGATACAATTTACTGGGCTTTCCATTACTTTTCTGATAAATTAAAAAAATTGTTTGTTACATGTTTAACAGTAACATCTCTTAAGCTTTTTTTAACAAAGAGTGCTTAAATTGTATATTTTACTTCATTTCAAATTTATATATTTCATAAATTACTTCAATTTATGCTACGCGCTGTTTAGACATTATACTTATTCTACAGGTAAAAGATAATTTGTCTTGGTCTATAGTTCTTGTTTTTTTGTGCTTTCTCGAGGACACACAAAACCGACATAAAACCTGCTAAGAGCAATAATAACAAGAAAAAACAAATAAAAGTTAGCACTGTGTGCCAAAAACATACAAAACAAAAGCAAAATTAAAAAAAAAAGTTTACAAAGTCATTAAAATTATGGCAGCCCACGATTGTTTAGGTATTTTGGATTGTGAGGGAGTGAATATTGGAATATTGGATGGGTGGGGGCAGCACTACACGGGAAACTCTTGTAATTAGTTGAGCAAAATTTCCATTCATTAAAATGCCTTTGTAAAACGATGGTGGGAGTGATGTGGGCGTGTGCTTTTCCCAGTTTACATGAAATTGTCTTATGGGAATTTCCAATGATTACATTTCGATACTCAGGGATGTGAAAAATCCTATCTCGACAGATTTAGCTTAATTTAATATTTTGTATTAAACAGCTATTTGAAAACAATGTAGGTATGCTTTTTTTTATAAAACGAAGCAATTTACAAATTATCGTCTTACTTAAATTAAAGTAAATACTTCTTATACTGGGGTGTTCCAAAATTCTCTTTGGTGTATTTGAGATTTCTGTTATAACTAAGTATAACAAAAAGATAGTTCTATAACAACCTTTTCTTGTATTAGATACATTCTTTATAAGTAATTTGTTTAAAGAAACACTTTTAAGCAAAGTAAACTTGTCGAATTTTAATTCTTTCCATTAATGTCGAATATATCTAGTGTTTTCCCAATCAAAATGTTCTGCTAGCCAGACAAACTTGTAATCTCTCTGTCTATCAGTCTAACAAGCCTGATAAAATCTTTGCTGGACTTGGGGATCTAACATTCCGTCTTGGCGCCCTGAAAGACTTTGAAGTATCGATGCATATTGACCGGAAATCTCGCTGTCTGGCATGTCAAAAAATAAATGTATATAAATAACAAAAAATCGCCAAAAATATTTTTGTATACAAAAATAAATTGAGAAGGGAACTACGCGTACTGAGGCATGTCCTTCCCGCACCTTCAACTTGGTATTGAAACACAAAACATATGGACGAAAGAAACTAGCACGATATCCCAAGAAGAGGCTGAAGTAAATAACATGGAAAACAACTTTCACTTTGTGTTGAAACAACAAAAGTCTTGGAAATTAAAAAAATAAAAACGAGATAGAGGAACAAAAAATATGTGGAACTGTGAAAATTATAAATCAAATGCAAAGACATGAAATGAAATGGAAGCAGCACACAAAATACCAAAAGACGAAAAATGGAACGAAAATAATTTTATTTTGTATTTTGGTGGTGCTCGGCGCTTTTCTTTTGCTTTTCTTGCCTCGCCAATAATTTGAAGAGGCGTTTTGCGGAATTTTCAGCAGACGTCAGGCCTTGACGTCATTGCCGACTTCGAGAATTGAATATGGGCATGGGAATCGGAATCGAAATCGGAGGGGAAATGGAGGTGGGTATGGGTTTGGGAATGGAAAGTCAACGTGGAGCACTTCGCCTGTCTCCTGTGCAGACTATCCCATTTAGTCCAGCTCCTATTTATTTTAAAAATGTGAAAGTAATCAAAGCGGAGTTATTTTTAGTCCATGTCCAAGTCCCACCAGGTGTGGTGAGGTTGAGGGGGAAGCCCGCCTTATCGCTACATTCTGTCTCCTCGCAACAGGGGACATACATATACATATTCCCCTCTCAACCCCTTCCGAAAAAACACAATTTCAAGCGATAAGATTGATTTGAATTGATGGGAAAGTTTTCATTGTGGGCGCCAGTATATACTAGACAGAAGACAGTCAAGATTGAATTTTTTCAGAATTTTAAATTACTCTAATATTTTGGAATCTAAACTAGGGTTAGGCTGTTTGAAAAGGAACCAAAACAATAGATTATTATTTTAATTAAATGGTATGACATAGGAACTACTATACTACTAGTTACTATAGTTACTCAACTAAGTGTTTTTTTCTCGACTTCACGGTCAATTACAAGTAAGTTTCTAACTGTAAATTTAAACTTAAGTTATTTTTTTATTTTAAATTTCTCTTAAGGTCGTATTGATGCAAAGGTAGAGTCGATTTGGAAGGGTTTTGAAAGAACACTTAACAAATAGGAATGATACTTGTTTTAGATCTTTTTTTGAGGCTTTACATATTTTTCCAAATAAATTAAGTTCACTTTAAGTGAATTTGTTCATACATTGTATTACATATATGTAAATACAATCTAAAATTGTTTAACTTATGTTAATAATGTTTATATTTAAGTCTCGTTGTGATTTATAACCAGAAAATAAAATAAATTGTTCCTTGAACAATTATATTTTATAGTATTTAATTTGGCTTTTAGTATTAAGTTAAGTTGTTGCAGAGCAGTGTTATCTCCCAGAAACTGAGAGTAAGTAGAGATAATAAGAAACAGATGATCATATTCTCTCTCTGCTTCATATTTGCACTCTCAACTGTGCAAATGCCGGGAAATTCCCGCATTTACAACAAAACAGCCACATAAACAAAGGCACAAAACGGAACAGAAACAATAATGTACACAATGAAAAATAAGCTGCTCAATATTAAAACGAAATGATTAGGTTAAATATAAATTTATTTATATTTTTTGAATTGTTTTGATTTGTGAAAAATTCTATTAACATATTTCATAAGGTAAATATAAAGGATTTCTGTACTTGTTCCATGCAACCCAGCCCCATGCAAAACTTGGCTGAGTTTAAATAAATGGTTTTTTTTATTACTTGTAAAATAGTTTTGATATTTAAGACATAGGGTGAATGAAGGATTTATAATTTAATTTAAATCATAAAGATTTTTATCAGTGTAGGACAAGTGCAAAACAAATTTGTGAACTTGTTTTCGCATTGCGAAGACTAAACCGAAACAGAAAAGAAACAGTGACCGCTTATTGTTATTGATAGTGGTACAAAATCTAAAAGCTATGTATGCAAATGTGTACGTAGAAAATCAATATTTGCACTTTGCGATTAGAAGCGGTGGCGTTTGGCAGGGGGAGGGGGGTACCTGTGGGCGGGGGGGATGTACCCGAAAGTTTCGTTTACATATTTCCAAAAGAATTAAGGCCATTTCGAGTGAGTTTTAGCCGTTATCAATAGGCGGAAATACGTATACGTATGCATGTGGTGGCAATACAGTTACGTGCAGTCTTGCACAGACACACATACCCATTTGCGAGTGCGAAAGAGACACGTAGACCGTGTTAACGGCAAAAGATAAATACCAGCTATGGCCAGTGTGGGAGCGAGAGAGAGGGAGGGAGAGAGCGCGAAAGAGCGCACAAAACAGGTGACATTGGCAGCTACGCAATAGTACATAGATAAAAAAAAACCGAGATCGATTTGAAAAGTAAAATGTTGGGAAACTTTGCAGTGCCCCTCCCCCTTCAAAAAACGCATTCACAACTTGTTGCCCGTGTCTAAATGTGTTTATTTATTGCTTTTATTTGTTGCACTACCTCACAGTGATCTACATATGTATGTATGTACGTGCGTCTGTGAGAGTTGTTTTTCACAATTTGTTATTTGCACACTGAGCAGAACCACCCACACCTGTGCAATTTTTCTGAGTGTGTGTGATCAGCAGAACAATTATCCAGATAATCGCATTTCGTATCCTTTTTCCCTTTTCCACTCACCAAATAATTACTGATTTTCCTTTGTTGATCCGCTTCCTTTTGTTTGTTTTCTGGCATTCAATTTCGTGATTTCGATATTTTGCTGATTTTCACTTTGGATCTGTTCCACTTTTCCCCTTCGTTAGCTGTTATTTCGATTCGCTTTTCTCACGCACTAACAACTCCGCGCACAAACCACGCAAAAGCTCGGCTTTGTTTCAAATCAGTTTTGTAATTATTATATTATTATTAATTATTACGAATTTTTTCACGTCGCCTTTCGACCAACTGATCTGCTCGTTAGAGGTGGAGAAACTTCGATGTTAACATCGGTGTCATCGATGTTTTTTAAGGCATCGGTAATCGATGTTTGGCAAGCCAATACCGATGTTTTTAATCGATATCGCTCACGCTCTCTCTTTTCGGAGAGCAAGAGCAGAAATCTTCTATCTCGCTTTTTTTACTGACACTTACGATTGCCTTCGTTTGCTTACGTTTTCTTACGTTCGCTTACGTTTAAGCACATCAGCCATAATTTAACTAAAAAAATATAATATAATATATAAATATAAATAATGTTTTACATTTTAATGAAATAATTTTATAAATTTATAAATAATGTAACAAAATTCAAATTAAAAAGCCGCCATTTAGTATCTAGTATTTTTTTACGTGGCGGGAGTTAGTAGTGTTGGTCAACGACGCCTTGTTTCAGTGTTGTGAATCACCGTCTTTCCGTTTGATTTCTGTTTTGACATTCGAAATAGATTTTCCTTAATTTTTCACTAAAAAGAAAAGCGCCCGGAATGAAGACCACGCCAAAGAAGAAGGAGACATCCCTACGCCTGCGGGAGTCGCGTCGCGAGGAGCAGAAGCCTCAGACGAGCCACCAGGCGCAGGACGAGGATGCCGATTCAGATCTGCCCATCCGGGGCCGTCCCTCGAAGAAGCTGCTGATCCAGCAGCAACAGCAGCGCCAGTACCAGGTGAAGCTGGAGCCGAATGTCAAGGCGGTCACGGCGGGGGCCACCGCGAAGCCCTCGTCCTCCTCGTCGGCCCTCGTCATTGGAGCACGCATCAAGGCCAGGCGAGTGCTCTACAAGAAGAGCGTCGGTTCTGGATCTGTCCAGAAGGCTCCCGGCGAGTCCTATGTGATGCGCCTGTTCGAGCGGAGCCTGGACCTCTCTAAGTATCAGGACGGCACTCCCCTGTACCCCATTTGCCGAGCCTGGATGGCCAATCAACCGAGGAATCCCGCCGTGGCCGCCTTTCAAACAGATGGCTCAACTACGGCCCCCAAACGAGAGGACAACGGCGAGGAGATACTCTCCAAATTGAGAAGCGGGGAGATGAAGATGCTCACCGAGCTGCCGCAGCCCAAGCCCACGAATCTGCCCATCATTCCGCCTCGCCTGGAGTTCAGCCAGGAGGACAAGAAGCGGGAGAAGGCTCTTGAGGGAGCCGATGCCCTCGAACTGCTCTCCTCCAACGTGGCCCGCTGGAAGAAGGTGCGCGGCCACTGGCTAAAGCATGCCCAGAAATACGAACACGATCGCTATAATCTAATTGACCAGATTATGAACGTGGTCTGCAAGAATTAAGGATTGAAGGAAGACAGGGTATGACGGGGGATCGCACAAGGCTCGATTCTGTAAACATTGACTAGAATAAATGTTTAAAAGATTATTTTTATACATGATATAAAATGTTCTTTTCAAACTTCAAAATGTAATAAATAAATTCATTAATTTGTGTAATAAACTTTACTACTTATTTACATTTGTCAATAGAGCGAAGTTTATAAATTAAAAACCTAAGTTTTGGAACAATTTTAAAGGTATTCGTTCAAAAATTGTAAATAGGACAAACCCTTTATAAGACAATGTTTCGATCATAAAACAATATTTGTGACTTGAAAGATTCAGAAAAAATAAACAAACCCCTATTTTAGGATGTTTTGAAACTCTCAACTAAAACCTGATAAAAACGTAGTCTTCAAGAACTGAAAACCACAGCAGCCATATCTAGCATCTTTTAAGAATATAAGTGAAACACATTTCTTTGTCATTGACTTGAATAAATGTTTATTTGTATGCGTAGAAGATGCGTTCCCATTACGGTTAAATTAGTTCTAGTTTAGAGCTGGGTTTGAGTTATCATTTTTATTTCGGGTTGGCAAATGCTGCTGGATTGTTCTGGTTCCTTCCGATTTTGGTGTCCTTCGGCTGGGCGTCCGTGCGCCGGTCCGCAACCCCCGGGATTTTCATTGGGGGTATACACAACGGGCGGCCTGTGGACCTTTTTTCGCCTATTCGACCTTGAGCAGCTCCACGTCGAAGGTGAGGGTGGAGTTGGGCGGAATGACGCCGGGGTGGCCGCGGCTGCCGTAGGCGTAGTCCGGCGAGCAGATCAGCTTGGCGCGCTGCCCGACGCTCAACTGGGCGACTCCCTCGTCCCAGCCGCGGATGACCTCGCCCTTGCCGATGGTGAACTTGAAGGGCTTGTTGCGGTCGCGCGACGAATCGAACTGCAGGATTGAGGTGGGGAACGCCTGGTTAGCTTTGGTGTCCATCAGTGACCCAGAGAACTACTCACCTTGGTGCCATCGTCCAGGGTGCCGGTGTAGTGAACCGTGACCTTTTGCCCATTCTTCGGGAAAGTGCTGCCTGCGGGCAAGGAATACGAAAATGGATGTGTGTGAGCGAGACGACCATATTGTTGCGGGTAATTTTCCGACCAGTGCATCGCGAATATGCACTTCTTAGGTTAGAAATGCCGGTCTTTTCCGGCACTCTCCGGAAATTCTAATCTCATAACTCTGTACTCACCATCACCATTAGCAATTGGAACTACTTGTACGCCCATTTCGATTAGTTTTCTCTGGCAAAATCCGAAGCGGAAAATAAGCACGTTGATTTCTTTTCGTCGCGTCGCCGAATGACAGCTAGTGGTGGGCGATGGGGACAGGGTTGCCAACTCTTCGTCTCATAAAAAGCTATACCAGCCTTTAAAAAGGCTAGAAATAGCTAGACAAAAAAAAAGCTAGAGAGGTAAATCAACATTTTTATAGATTGATTATTTGTCTTTCCGGAGTAGACCGAAGAACAAAAACAAATGAAGAACACAACAGATGATTTGAAGAAGCTAAAAATTCACCAATTTTTCTTGGAAAACATACAAAATTCTTGATAATTTACATTTTGTCCAGTACTTCCCAATTGAAAACCGATAGATCTAGAGAAAAAATAACTACATTGGCAACACTGGTTTGGGGGAAGTATCGTTTCAAAGTAAATACGATTAATAGAATGTTTCCACTGCACCATTTCAACATTTTTAATGAATCTTTTTCCATTTGGCGTTTTATTTTGAATTTCAATAGAAATTCAATTTATATTCACCCAATTCTATCTTACTGTCAACATATAATTACGAAAATATTCACTACGTTTTGTTATTAGCTGTTCAAAATGTAATGAAATACGATTTCTGAAAAGAATTTGGTATGGGTAGAGGTAAAGCAAAGTATCCATTTTTAATAGGAGCCCGGGACAAGCTACTTTGCCGATTGCCAGAAAAGTTTCATAAACAATTCTATTATATTTTATTTAAGTTTTTATATTACACAACTGTTTAAAGTTCTAAAAAATATTTACTATGTATACGCACAAAAAATCCATTGGTCATAAACTAATTACAAGACAATGGAATAGTCAGTTCTTCAGGGATTTTTTGATTAAATTTTCAGATGCCGGATCACAGTTTTATGGCCATTACTCTAAGCGTGGTGTTTGGGGCTGCTGGAGCAAAGATTACTCGTCCCTGATCTTCCTTATAGTCGGTGTAGTCCAGGGAGTAGATGCACTCCATCCCAAGGGCCTTCTTCTGCCGAGCGGAGTAAAAGCTGGTGCAGTAGGCGACCATGACGGGAAGTCCCTGGGACCGACCCAGGTCCATAAGGGTGATGGCCAGACGGGAACCCAGGCCCTTGCCCCTCATCGAGGCGGCTACACTGGTGATGTGGGAGTAAAGGACTTTTGAGACGCCGTAGCGCTCAAAAATATTGGCTTCGCGTTCGGCCTTGGTCAATATTATAAAGATGCGGCCCCAAGCGTTCTCCGTCAGAGTCTTGGCTGTCTGGGCGTATCTTTCCACATCCTCGGGGACTTGGGCTCCTGCCAGGACGAAGCCCACAATTCGGCCATCATCGTTCTCGTCAAGGGCCAAAAGGGAAGTGCCCTGGGCGATCATCGAAAGGTTTATCGCATCGTTCTCCTCCTCGTTCTGCAGATGAACGTCTTCACCACAGGACTGGCACAATGGTTCCGCATTGAAGTACTCTTCCTTCATAAACAACTTTAGTTTTTCATAATCCGCCAGGAACATAATGCGTATCGTGACGCCTTCCTTCGTGTTGAAAGTCATTCTGTTTGTTTTATGCTTTTTTCGATGAAGAAGGCAACACACTGCTTTTATATACTGGCGGTTATCTTGCGAATTTCTTCAATAGTTCGTTGGTGATTGCTTATCACACGTTTTACTACAACTACGGATCGATCAAAATAATATTTCAACCTACATACAAGTTCAATAAAACAAAAAATGCAGTCTACACAACAATGTCAAAAGTTTATTACCCGATAAAATTTAATTTTGTGATAACAAATACAAAAAATTATTGTTCCCACAAGAACATTTTTGTGGTGAAATTATCCAATGCAGATAGTTATGTAACTATTAAAAATGGTACTATACTGTGGGAAATAGTTGTTTATGTATTTATTTTAGCTTTGTTCACTACGAAATAGTCAAGCCACTATCAACATAGGTGCGTTCCTGTGATGTGTGTGTTTTGTTATGTTTTGTTAAAAATAGTTACTTACCTACATTACTAATTTGTATAGTTTACATAAAACTGAAGATTCGATTGGTTTGTCCCATTTTACAATTATATTGGTCTATTTTACCAAAGAGTTTCTTTATGTGTATACTTAAATTAAACTAAAACGAATATTTATTCTTTATTTTTGTGTTTACACCGTAACTAAGACTACCATAATATTAACCACTCTTTTAACTTTTTTCAAAAAGAGCTATCAGAGTTTGGCAGCCACGACCCGCATATGGGTATGTGGAGCTGGTGGATTAAATATCGGACGGCCCTGATCGTCCTTGTAGTCGGCATATGCCTGTGAGTGGATGCACTCGAGCCCTTGGTTCATGGCCGTTCGAGCCGAGTAGTAACTGCTGCTGCAGCCAATAAAAAGGGGGAATCCCCGAGAGCGACCAAGGTTCATCAAACAAATGCTAAGTTGGCCCAATAGACCTTTTCCCCTCATCGAGGCGTGTACGGAGATGGCTATTAAACTCAAGTATGTGAGGACACCGCAGCGCTCAAAGATGTTGGCATCCCGCTCCACCTTGGCTACCATTTTCCGGCTTCTACCCAAGGCATTTGGCTCCATTTCCGCGGCCTCCTTGTGTTGTTTCTCCATTATGTTGGGGTCCATTTTCTCGTCCACGGCAATGCCAACCAGAAGATGTTTGTTGTTTTCATCGAAGGCCACTATGGAAAGACCTTGCCTGATCACGGACAGGTATTCCCTATCGACCTCTGCCTCATTTTGCAGATGAATTTGCTCTTGGAGGCCTATGCCCATAGGCTCGTCGTAATGGAAGTAATCCTTCATGAAAGGTTTCACGATTTCGTAGTTGCTCTCCTTCATTATTCGTATTGTTATACCGTTTATTTGACTGAGTATCATTTTGAAGTAGTCACCGATATTCTCAGGATCTCTAGTATTGCTCTGGCATTCTACTAGTGGCTGTATTTTATGGTTGCAGTTGCCTTTTAAAGAAACCGACGTGGGTTATCTACATACATATATCGGCTTGAGTTCAAGAACACCTTATTTTTTTTTACATATCAGTATTATAAAATTGTTAAGATAAAGCCTATAGTCCAGTGCCTTAACTGGGGGTTTACTTTTCACGTTTGATATCGGTAATCGGTAAATATCAGATCCAACAATTTAATCTTCTAACTAACGAATCGATGGGTCTGCAATAAGCAATAATTATCATAAATGTAAATAAACAATAAGTTAATATTCAATCAAGCCACATTGTATATATTTTATTTCATAAACCTATAAAGTTAAGAATATTCATTGATTCATTGATTCATTGATTCATTGATTCATTGATTTATTGATTCATTGATTCATTGATTCATTGATTCCTTGATTCATTGATTCATTGATTCCTTGATTCATTGATTCATTGATTCATTGATTCAATGATTCATTGATTCATTGATTCATTGATTCATTGATTCATTGATTCATTGATTCATTGATTCATTGATTCATTGATTCATTGATTCATTGATACATTGATTCATTGATTCATTGATTCATTGATTCATTGATTCATAAATTCATTGATTCATTGATTTATTGATTCATTGATTCATTGATTCATTGATTCATTGATTCATTGATTCATTGATTCATTGATTCATTGATTCATTGATTCATTGATAATTGATTAATTGAACCATCGAATCATTGAATCGAATCATAGAATCGAATCATAGAATCGAATCATAGAATCATTGAATCGTTGAAATTTTGCTATTTATAGACAACAGTAGATTTTGTGAAGGCCCGTGGACGTTAAGCTGTAGGCTATTCAGGCTTTATAAATAAATAACATAAATTTTAAATTCACAAAATTTGTTTAATAGAGTTAATGTTGTAAAACCTTTAAAAGTTTAAAGTGTATATGTAACATCCTTAATAAATTTAAATTTGAATTGTGGTAACAAATAATTGCGTAGTGAGTGACATAGTAAAAGTAACATAAACAAGCACATAATTTCTTTCTACATTATTATTTTTTCTGTTGTTAGACTAGATGAATTTTAGTAACATCTTGGCATTGTTCTATAGATACAAATCTTTCAGTATCAATAAGAATAAATAATGATAAAGTTTCCCAACAATTGGAATAAATAGTTCCCTTACAAGGAGTTAACATGGCGCTGTGAACAGCCTCTCGAGTTAACAGCAGCATCCTCTGCTAACAGCGCACACGTACAGCGAACTGTGCCCGCACACAGAGGCAGCCTGCATGTACACACGTACATCGCGTATACGCACCGTTGTCGCTGTATATGTAAGGCAACTCTAATTGGTCACTTCCGTTCCGGTTCCGTCGACGTTTCCTTGGCGCATGCGACTTCTGGCTTTCAGAATTCCGAATTCAGCTCTAGAGGTTCAACTTTACCGCCGCTGCGCTTGACACACACACAAAACTTTTCCGCACATAAGTGTTGAGGGGGTTTAAGAGTGTGTGTGTGTGTGTGTTGGGGCTATGCCTTTGTATGTGTGTGATAAGAGATGCAGCCGACGTAACGGTAACCACTTGTCGCGGGCTATAAAAGGCGCTGCTGGCCAGCAGCCATTTGCAAACGCTCGCATGTCACCGAAGGCGCAACAGCTGCGATTCTGAACTTCCCACTCGAGTTGAAAGTTTTTTGGAAAATATCATAATACATCCTCAAATGTATTTAAAGTGAAGTTCGGTATTTCGCATTCGGCATTGCTTGTGTGGAGCTTTCTTCTACATTTTCTGGATATTTTTCACAAGTTTTACGGATTACTTAACAATGGATTGGTGCAAGTACATGATTTGAGCGAGGTATTTGTTAGGTAAGTATGGGGAAAAATTACGGGTACACATTTTTAAAAAAACTTTAAATGAAACTAAGTGATAAAATGAATTCGAAAATAAAACAAAGATGAAGTGCCTCTGAATTTAATAAAGCGTAAATGGAATCTAACAAAATGTTACTAAAGAATTACTTAATAAATATTTTTAGAATCTTTAAGAGTCAAACAATCATAGATTTAATTTGTAATGCAAATGATAGCACATTAAAATGCTGTTAAAAGTTGTATACTTACGACTTAGTAGATGCATGCCAAGAAAGCTAAGCTACACAAGAATCTTTATATGTGTACATCAATTATAGTGCAATTACAATTTTAAATACACTTAAAAAGTATTCGCCCTACATCTTAGCAATTTCTATGAAAACAAACTTAATAATTCTAATAAAATAAAGTAAAGTAAAAAGTAAAGTAAAAAATACGTTCTTACTTGACTTAAAATTTCTAAAATACCTATTTTAGTGAGAAATCTAAAATTTTTAATACTTTCAAAAATAGTTTATTAGAAGAGATATAGAAAACCATCAATTTCTTTTTATTTATTTATTCAAAATGTATTTTCTTCAGACAATTTTTGACCAGCAAAGATTGCCATCCATTCTAGAACAGAAAGCATGATGCACTCTAGTCTAGTTCATAAGTACAACCGGAGCACTTTAAGCACTCAATCTGCGTTCCGGCTAATTGATCACAACTCTGGGCAATTAAAGTCAGCGGGGAGGAATTAAGTAGATCAGATTAATTGTTTGACGTGCTTGTGGTTTCATTACACGCAAAGATTCCCCAGCGCTGAGCATATATGGCCAGATACATGTGCTTGTTCTGTGGTGTGGACGGATGGTCAAGTGTTTGCTGGCCAGTGTGTTTGAACATGCCACCTGTCGTATGCGTAATGTGCCAACGAGCTCTTCAAGGGCTCGGTGAGCACATGTCGTTGCCAAACGGGTTTCAAGTGCCCCGAACACACACTCATTGAAGTCCATGAGGGGTTCGGGTTCGGGCTAGGGTATGGGACTTAAATGATTCGAGCGGGGCGATATTTCCGAGCTGACCCATTGAAGTGCTCTGGTTTTCACAGATTTCAAAGTGCGGCGGCGGGAACTCCACGTTTTGGATCAAGGACACGACGGGTTATATAGTCGCAGATGTCACCAACCGGACACATATCCAAATCAAAGACGCCCACGCCACACGATAACGATAACAATAGCATCAGCGACGAGCGGGAAACATGGAGCGGCAAAGTGGATTTTTTATTATCGGTTATTGGATTCGCCGTCGATTTAGCAAACGTCTGGAGATTTCCCTATTTGTGCTACAAAAATGGCGGTGGTAAGTTTTTTTACACTTATCTGATAATCCCTGACAAATAAAGCGCAAGTTGTTAGAAAACTACTTTATAATAAAAAAATATATAAAGGGAAATATGAAATCTTTTTCCAAATTATTTAGGACCATATAATATAAAATTGTATGCAAATCATAAGGGAATTTTAATTGATTTATATATATATCTTTAATAAATTCAAATATATTTTTTGGATAACTAAAATCAATTTAGCTTGGAAATTACGATCTGTAAACATTAGTCTAATGTATTTGGGACCATTCTATATCAATATCTATAACATCTATGCGCAAATCTTAAGAATATTTTACGAATACCTAAGCTGTGTATATCATATACATCTGTTGGAAATATAAATGATAAAGTTATATACCATCTTTAAAAGGTACTTATAATATAATAGCAATTCATAAAATGAGGTTGACCATTCACAGGCCTTTTTCCTCCGTGTGAACTGGCCAATTAGGGGATAAAGACATTTCGTGAATCGCTCTGGCTGAGTGAAAATAATTTATATGGCTTTACACATCATTGGGCTCGCCACGGAACCCGTCGCTTTCCGCTTTCCGCTTTCCGCCTTCTGCATTTTCCTTTCGGCCTTGTTAACACTTTGTCAAAGTGGTGCCAAGTGCTGTCGGTTTGGGGAAAGGGGCAGGGTGGCCAGCTTCCTTTGTCAAATCGCAGGGTTTCCCCCGCTGGAAAAGCGGCAAAGGACACACACTTACTTCGCTGTCTGATCCTCATCGTCAACGCCATCATTCAAAACAATTCCAAAAGTTAAGTGCTTCTGTATGACAACTAAATCTGGCAGTCATAATCGCATTTGGCCCGCTTACCCTCTTTCACTCTTTTTCCACACCCCATTTCTGGGCAATATGTCAGCCTGCTTATGTGGAGTTCTCTAGGCTTTTGTTGCTAGAGCACTTTCCACCATCGCATTGTGGGAAATTCATGTGCGAAACATGTCTCCATCTCCATTTCCATTCCCTCAATTTTCCCCCCATTGCGGCACTTTCCCGCTGAATGGATGTGTGGCTCACAGGGCCTTCGATATAGTTATTACTATTTTATGAGCATTTTTTTCTCGTACAGCACGCTGCTCTCCCTTTAAAATCATAATAATAAATTGTTATATTTATACGCTTCATTGCGTTCAATCAGTGGCTCCGGCTCCGGCTTAAGTTCCACTTTGGGTCCGTTGCCAGGACCACCAACTCGCTCAGGTTGCGATTATTACCACAGCTTAGTCGGTATTATTTATTCTGTTTCCCATTTCCCATTTCCCATTTTCCTGCTGCCTGCAACTCGAAAGTGGCAGCTTTGGTGGCAGCAACAGGCTGTGCCAGCCACATTGTCCTGGATTATGGCTAAAACCCCAGGAGCAGGCTTACATCGCGCATACTTACCACAAGTGTTTCTACATTAGTTAGCCATGCATTCAATTATTATATTCTAGCGCTTCTAGTTTTATAAAATAATTTGGACACTTCCAAAAACAACGCACATTAAATGAACTTTTAGCATTAAATTATATTAAAGCATATTAAATCAACTCAAACTAAAACTTAATGTCTTTTTTAAACTTTTATATTGTTAGAGGGGTTTTACTTACCTTTTCGATTTATTTGATTATATTAAAAACTTAATTAACTTAAACTAAAACTTAAGGGTTTTTTAAAACATTTATTTAGTTAGATGGGTTTTCAAAAAACAATTCTTACAATTAAACCCTTTTAACTTATTTAGTCTACTTTCGACTTTAGTGAGAATAAAGTCAAAAGCTTTAAGTTTAATAAAGGTATTTCTAAATTAAGTTTGCAGGCGTTTTAATCAACCTTTGCCAAAAGCATCCACTTATTAATTTAACCATGCTGGTCATAAAACATTAATGCTTTTCTTGTTGAAAAGTTGTGTAACTAAAGATAAATATCCTAGCTAGCTCCATAAAAAAACGAATGGTTATTGTATTTCTTTATTTTATAAAATGTATTTTCAAAAATCAATTACCTAATTTAAAATAGATTTTTTACATACCCATACAGTCATATATGAGCCTATGTTTTCTTTCCAATTTGGTGTGAAAAATATATATGAGCTTAAGTTGATAAGTTTGTGGCAAGTGATTAAATATTTCTATTCTAAAAAGGAGCTACTTCTAAATTAAATTTAGGCTTCACTTTGAGGGACCTTTGCCAACAGCATAATTAAAATAATTTAAAAACTTAGTTTCATTGCTTAAAAGACATAACTTTCCAAAATAATTCAATAGAAATTCAATCTGCTACTCACTCACACCATCACATCCACATGTCCGTCTGAAATTGGCCAAGTTTTGACCGAATTATGGCCAGGGAATCGAATTAGAGGCACATATCTATGCACAGTGTCCATGACGAGCTGGTGAAAAGTGAGGGAAATGCACTTGAAGCACCGGAAATTATGGCTTCAACAACAGAGACGGGCGTCATAGATGCCCCGACTTTATTTTAGACGTTTTTGTTTTACATTTTCAACATAATTGACACGACAGAGGGCGGAAGAACCGGGGCTGTCAGAGCCTTTGTAGATATAGTACATATAGAACACCAGAACACCCATGCATATAGCAAGTCCGGGGACAGACGACTTTGTCGGCCACTTTGCCTGCTAATAGACATAATCAAATCATAAAAACATCATCCCCTGCCACTCAGCAAAGTATCGATGGCACTCTACCAATTGTCAGGCCCCAAAAGGGGGTGTGACTTTGGTCCGGGTTTTCCGGAGGTGACGGAGATGACTGCCGGAGACAGCCGCGTCGGCAGGCTTTCCCCGCTTTTCCCGGTCTTGTCTTTCTCCTCGCAGGCTGCTGTTAATGTTTTTAAAATGTCCTTAGAGTGGCACTTGTAAAACAATTTGATTTTGTGTACCATCGAACATACATAAAGGTCGGGTGTCTATGTAGGAAATATGTGTGCAATTATGTAGGTTTGTCGACGGAAGCAGGGCGAAGAACAATGCAGAGGTTGTGACACGGGTCAGTCTCAATATTCGAGATGAGGCGGTTATGCAATCATTATTATAAAAACTGATATGAAAAACAGGCAAGGTAAAAGTTGAAAACCTAAGGGTAGTCGGAAATTTAATATGATTTGAAAAGATAACTTGATGTTCTCGCACTTCCTTGGTTTTCCTGCTAAGAAATAAACCATTGCCTGCTTTTGGGCGATTTAAAATGGTGCTATAATTCAAAGGAAATTCTTGCGTCCTAGATGCACAGAACAATGTATATTTTTAAAAATAAAATAGTAAATCAAATTAAAAAAAATTATTTGATTTCTTAAACTTTCTTAGATTTTCTACTTATAGAAATGATTGCCTACTTTCTGGCGCCTTAAAATGGGGATTGAAACTATTGGAAATTATTGTGGCTCTGCTGATAAATAAAATATTTGCTTACCCTTTTAGTTTATAGAACCTTTAGACTTTACAGGGTATTGTATTATATATATTCTTTATCATAACTTCCCAATTTCAGGCGCTTTTCTTGTGCCCTACGGCATTATGTTGGTGGTCGGTGGTATTCCTCTATTCTACATGGAATTGGCACTGGGTCAGCACAATCGTAAGGGAGCCATCACATGCTGGGGTCGCCTAGTGCCACTTTTCAAGGGTAAATAGTTGGCTTACTATATTTAAATTAAATCCATCAACAATACCTATATTTTCCCAGGAATTGGCTATGCAGTGGTGTTGATAGCCTTCTATGTGGACTTCTACTATAATGTGATTATTGCCTGGTCGTTGCGTTTCTTTTTTGCATCCTTCACCAGCACATTGCCTTGGACGTCGTGCAATAATGTTTGGAATACCCCAAATTGTAGACCGGTAAGTGAAGATTTAAACATATCTAAGTTATTACTAAGATGTCGGATTTTATGTTATAATACATTATATATAATATAATAAAATTCAATATTTCTACCAGTTTGAGAGCCAAAACGCTTCTCGTGTTCCACTGATAGGCAATTACAGTGACTTTTATGTAATGGGAAATCAAAGCCTGCTCTTGAACGAGTCTTATGTGAATGGTTCGATAAGTTTGGAGACGCCTTCGGTGGGTCATGTGGAGGGTTTTCAATCCGCTGCCTCAGAGTATTTTAAGTATGTATGATCTATATTTTCATTTAACAAATAATAATCTTATAACTAAATACAGCCGCTATATTTTGGAGCTGAACCAGAGCGAGGGCATCCACGATCTGGGCGCCATCAAGTGGGACATGGCGTTGTGCCTTCTGATTGTCTACTTAATCTGCTATTTCTCGCTGTGGAAGGGCATTAGCACTTCGGGCAAGGTTGTGTGGTTTACGGCTCTATTTCCCTATGCGGTGCTACTAATCCTGCTGATCAGGGGTCTCACACTGCCTGGATCCTTTCTGGGCATTCAGTATTATCTCACGCCCAACTTCAGTGCCATCTATAAGGCCGAGGTTTGGGTGGATGCGGCCACCCAGGTGTTTTTCTCCTTGGGTCCAGGATTTGGAGTGCTGCTGGCCTATGCATCCTACAATAAATACCACAATAATGTGTACAAGTATGTTTCTGATTTGGGTTCTGTTTTAATAATGATATAAAATAATTAAATATCTTTAATAGAGATGCTCTGCTGACCAGCTTTATCAATTCGGCTACCAGCTTTATAGCCGGATTTGTGATATTCTCCGTGCTGGGCTATATGGCTCACACCTTGGGCGTAAGAATCGAGGATGTGGCCACTGAGGGACCTGGCCTGGTTTTCGTGGTATATCCAGCTGCCATCGCCACCATGCCGGCCAGTACTTTCTGGGCTCTCATATTCTTTATGATGCTGCTTACCTTGGGTCTAGATAGTTCGGTAAGCGTTATTTATACACAAAGAAAAAAATTGAAAGATATGAAGATTATTTTGATGAAATCCTAGTCATAATTATACCTAGATACGTGGCGCATCATTTTTGGTATGTTCGCCATCTAGCTTTTTTCTCTCCTTTTGGTATTATTATTATTAAGAATATTGCTATCTTGCTTTTACCCAGAGTAATCCTAGGCGCTATCTAGACATTTTCTTTCTTTTTCGATTCAAAAGAATTTTTAAAGAGAGAAAATTGAAAGTAAATTTACTATGCGAAATCAAATTGATCTATATGTTTATTTTTGGGTACATACAATTTTAAATTTAACTTTAAATTTACTTACCTTACAGTTTGGTGGCTCTGAGGCCATTATCACCGCCTTGAGCGACGAGTTCCCCAAGATCAAAAGGAACCGGGAGGTTTTTGTTGCTGGCTTGTTTTCCCTGTACTTTGTGGTTGGACTGGCCAGTTGCACCCAAGGTGGCTTCTACTTTTTCCACTTGCTCGATCGCTATGCCGCTGGCTACTCGATTCTGGTAGCCGTATTCTTCGAGGCGATTGCCGTGTCCTGGATCTACGGAACCAATCGATTCAGTGAGGACATCAGGGATATGATTGGCTTTCCCCCGGGGAGGTACTGGCAGGTTTGCTGGCGATTTGTGGCACCAATTTTCCTGCTCTTCATCACTGTATACGGCCTGATTGGCTATGAACCTTTGACCTATGCGGACTACGTGTATCCCAGTTGGGCCAATGCGCTGGGATGGTGTATAGCTGGATCCTCGGTGGTGATGATACCGGCGGTGGCAATTTTCAAACTTCTGACAACGCCGGGAAGCTTGCGTCAAAGGCTAACCATTTTAACCACACCCTGGCGGGATCAGCAATCGATGGCAATGGTGCTGAACGGGGTCACCACCGAGGTCACCGTGGTGCGGCTAACCGACACGGAAACCGCCAAGGAACCCGTCGATGTCTGAGTTCGGCCAATGGCTCGTTTTCAAATTTACTACGTTTAGATTTGGAAATTTACCAACAACTCACGTTCACATACGTACTTGAGTCGCATTGCATGAAAGTTTGTGTTTTTGGTTCGACATTAGGAGCAGGTCCTGGAGGACCGGCAAATTTCGCAAACAACGTACTTAGGTTTCGGCACCGAAGGAGAAACAAACCACAAGCAAGATCAGCTTCAAACCATAAGAACTAAGTTAAGACTAGGTTGTAGTGCGTATGGTTAATGCCAGTTATAGCATACACGTAAATACAATGCTGTGTAGATAATACCAAGTTAAAAAGACAGCATCACTCGTCGGTTAATCCACCTGAAAATCCTTGGGAGAATGTTTGCATATGCCAATGGAATTAACGACACGATCGTGGCTCAAATTGGGCATAGAATCTGTACATACACACAATGATGATGTAAAAGCTTTAAACACGTTATAGGATATCTCATGGAACTGAAGCAAAAGCTGCCACAGTTGATCAACAAAACCCCCTCAAACAGCCATGAGGGGATTTTGTCATATGCAAAGGTTTGTTCTAAACTAATTTACCCCGTCCAAAAAACTACGATTGTTTGTTTAAAACAGCCATTTTAAGCAATCAATTGGGAGTTATAACAAAGATTCCCAATTCTAAAATGGTTTCTGTATATAGATTTTTGATATTTTAAAATTGTTTTAAGAGTTTTTTTCACGCTGAAGCAGAACTAACAGCCATGAGTTCTGTTTCAATTTGTTGAAATAAATTATTATACTTTTAGTTACTGAAAAAGAAAATTGTATTTTGATTGGTGGGTGGAATGAGCTGTATCTGTTGAGAAATCCAAAAATTGTATATAAATAGATAGATTAAAGTCCCATAAAAATTAAAAGCATTGAAATACATCCTTAGTTTCTTGATTAGATATTTGGGGTTTTATTCCAATTTGAATTCTTTTTTCTTGTACAATAATTTCAATTAGTAACGTATAAAAGTAAGGAGTGGACCGTAACCAAACCAACACAAATGCTTTTCATATCGATGAATTTTATCAAGTAGCGCAGTTCCAGATAAATATTGAACTCTCTTACAGAATCGCAGCTTTTGAGTAGTATTCTTAGCTTTGGGGTACATATGGCATATATATTTGTATGTCGCGCACTTCATACAGCACTATGTAAGCTTTGCATTAAAAATATATATGTTATGTATGGTTAGTTCGGATGGGGGAGGTCTAACTCCCTGGTAATTGATACTCGTATAACATGTTGCGGTGTATGCAGATTACGTATGTTGGTCGGGTTTGGGTTAAGGTTGCGATTAGGGTGCATCTAGTTTGGTTGCCTTGTGAACTGTATGCAAGTATTATGTCTGCGGTTATGGTATATACTTCATTTCTGGTGCTATAGAGCGGATACTAACCCAATAGAGCTAAGCTTATGTACAGTAAATATTTTTGATTCTGGTTTTTCTGCTTTGGTATGCGGGTTATACATATATCTTTTTGTTTTTTATAATATTCTGTTAGGGGTTTGGGGGTCTTGCGAATGCGCCAACTTGATATTTGTGTGTTTACATATATGACCTTTTGTGCTCGTCGATGATTCGCTAACTAATTCGTAAATATGTAGATGTACGTATGTTGTGCAATAATGCCTAAAATCAATACAATGCAATATGCATAAGCAACAAATCGATCTTGCCACTGAAAGACACTTTCTGAATTGACAAATGACCTAAGTGAGTGTCTGATGGAATCACTTAACTGGCTCTGATTAGATGTATAACAGTTATAAAATCTAGTTCATATTACGTCTGTGCATTGAGATTTGTTCGGTGGATGTTATATATATATTTTATAAGGTATATATCTAATATGACATCAGCTATTATTTCAGTAAAAAATAACAGTTAATCCGACCTTAAAGCATTCGTTTTCTTTTGTTTCGAAAATTAAATTTTCATTGAGAGCGCACACAAAACATACTTCATATTTCGATTAATTTTTCGTTCAACTTTCGGAGAAATATTTCTAGAGGATACAGCACGGAATAAAGCCTTTGAGGCCCCTCGTTCGAAGCCTTTCGGTTCGTAGCAAAAGCGACAAGTTTCTGTTTCTGACATTCAGTATATCGGCAGACCTATGGGGTTTCATCGTTCCGTAAGTAAGGTAAGTAATTCAACTATAAAGGCTACATTGGGAAACAATCGATTATAAACGATATAAATTTGTTGTCAATTTTTAAGTACCAAGTCTACGTAATAGGAAAAATGCCTAAAGTAATTTCCTTATGTATGCTTAAAATTTACTGTAATGCACCAAGAGATTTCACTTTCAGTTTTATCAGCGCCATAAATATATCCATATCAGTATCCAATTACAATCATTCAGATCAACATACATACATATATACGCGTACTTGTTTATAATAAGTACAAGCAGACAATCATGTATGAGATTCCTAGTCCAACATTCATATTCGAATTATTTGCTATGCACTTTACGAATATTCCATATACCATTTAAATGTGAGTCCGTGAATCCTTGTCAGTATTTTGATTTAGGTCTGCTGGATAGAGCTCAAAAATGCTGGGTCCACTGAGGCCACTTTGGCCGTGAGAAACGCGTGCATGCAGAAGAGCAGGCTTTGTAGGACTTGACATTCCAGTTCCTAAAGGAAAACCAAAGGAAAAATTTATGGTATTATTATTAGAATGATTATTTTAAGGAAAAATCAAAATATTTTAAACTTAACCCTATAGATATAGCTGTTATCTTATAGGTTTAAATGAAAATCATAAATCTACCTTGGTTTCGATTGCTCGACTTTCGTGATCCTGAAAATGCAACTTAAGCTTGGATTTGCCATCATCACTAGAGCCCCTCAGCTGGGAGAATTTATATTGCCAGACTGTGGCAGAATCGGCTCCTTCAGTTAGGGAAAATCCAGCTTGCCAGTCCAGCGTGAGTCCGCCACTTTTTCCATGATGCGAGACGGCAAAGGTCTTACGCTAAGAAAAAAATAGAAATTTTTAGTTCTATAAGGTATACAAAACTCGTAGGACCTACGCTCAATTTTATGACGCTGGTCACAATGGCTGCATTCCAGCTGTTTTCGATCCTTAAAAGCTCTTGACGGGTTTCCACGCTTAAGTAACGGGGCTCATGGCCCGAACTTTGCAGCAGGAAACAATGCTGACGACTATCCACAGTCTCGGATTCCTTGACGATGCGGAACATGGTCTGATAGACCTTGTAGACCACCAAAGCCTTACTGATGCCAGCCACATTCAACTAATTTTGGGGATTCACAAATAAAAAAAATATATATTTATTACATATTTAATATAATTATATAACTATATAACTTACTGGTGGCGTCTCAAAGAGCATTACTTCGGTTCCCTTGAGCAGTAGAAATCTTGGCTTGTAACTCTGCCAGGATATATTGTTGTTAATCACTCCCTCGTTTACCCAACCCATGTACTCAATGCGCTCGCCCACAGCAAAGTTTCTATTATATAGCTTCATCTGATTGGAAGAAAATTCATATTATATATATTATTGAGGAAAAGGTCTAACTCCCATCTTACTTGTAAGTGCGTAAGGCCCACGACATTGTCTGTGATCAATTTTAGCCATTGACTAAGTATGGCCAGTTCATCGCAGTGTATAACACCTGTGGTAATGCCATTCAGACCACGTACTTCAAAGGCGTTTTGACGCAGTTTATCGGTGCCATAAATATATCTTGTCACATAGGCCATCATCAGGGGTACTGCAAAAAGAGATATTGGTTTAAATACAATCATTTAAAATTAAGAATAGGTTCTGTGATGAAGTTTGACCATATATGTTTTCAGATTTATTAAGATTATAGTTTTCAAGCTTCAAAACCCTTCTAGAAATATTTTTTGAATTTTATAACATTAATTACTTTTCTATTATTTAGCATAGTAAACTAAATTAAAACTTGTAGTAAATCCCCCTGCAGGGGTCTTTAAAATCTAGGACCTTTAAATCGTAATTCGATAATTCTTCTATAACTTTTAAATTAATTATAACTATGTTGTTTATCAAGAATTCCGAAACTCACCTGCCACCACATCGGTCCATCGTTTTTCGGGCTCCGAGCAAATTGACATGGGGCGACTACAACTGCGACTGATGGTTCCACTATTGACGGAGGACTTGTAGCCCTCGTCTGCCTTCAGTTCGGCGCACGTGGCATCGTTGTCAGAATCCGGCGTGTCCTTGGTTACTATGATATTGAAAAGGGTTAATATATTATTAGTTAACGTGGAATAAAATCCTTATACTCACATTGCTTCTGAAGGAAAGGCGTGGCCGCGCGATAGTGCTTCACCGTGAGTACAACTATATCTCCGGCGTTTCTTAATATATTGACGGCATCGTCGTGAGGACAGGCCGTAATGTATTCCCCATTAACCTTGATGATGGCATCGCCCACAAAAAGCTGGCCCGTAATATCCGCCGCTTGATCTTTATAGATACGCGATATCAAGATGGGTAGTTTGTGCTCGGCTCCACCCTTTATGCTCAGTCCTAGGCCGCCCTGTTTTTGGCGCGTGATTTGAACCATACGTTCCTGAAAGGATATTTTGATTAAGATCTGGAGTTCCTAAAACCATAAATATTACCTTAGATTCCATTGGGGGTCCATTGGGATGGCAACTACTGGGCGTAACGACTTCCAACTTCTGCAGCGAAAGTAACTCCATTGTAAGATTAAGTCGCAGGGGTTCTGGTCTGCTCTTGCCATCGCTCACATGGACCATACCAGTTCGCACCTGAGAATGTAGACAAGACTATCATATCATATCATATATGGTGTATTTTTGGTTTACCTTCAGGTTTTGATCGAGTTTTTCTTCTATTGGCGTGGCCATGGTGTCAGAGAGCTTCATAATTCCTGGAATTATTTAGAGAACGGAGATCTTAAAAAGATTTATGAGCTAAAATAGAAATGGTGTCGGCGTTCTTAAAGGTTTAAAAGTATTATGAGACATCAGAATAATTTACGACCCAAATCAAGAGACTTAATGGATTAAGAAGTAATGATTCAAGTAAACACTCGAAGTTGCTTAAAATAAATACAGATATTAATAATTCAGTGGAAAAGGTCTGCGAAAGGTTGAAGTTTGCCTGACTTGTGGCAATAATGGGACGTCTACCCTTGTTAACCAATCCGCCAATCAAGTTGGCCTAATAAACAGGTGATTTCTGCGAACTTTCCTCTTTTTCCGCTAACATAATCGTGGCCATGGCAATGAGGTCTGTGGAAACAACTGCAATCAAACCGAGTAGCCGGCTCCGATGGCCTTTATCGATTGCCTTTTTCCGCGTAATAGACACCAGTAGAAAGCAAATCCAAAGCAATTGCATTTGCAATCATCGCATATTGAATTACGTTTACACACTGGACCCTTCGGTGAGCCGATAGTTCAAGGTGAACCGTGCAATTGCCTTAATTAAATTACACA